AAGTCTGCTGACTCAAGCAGATGTGGGATAATCAAACTCTAAAAATAATTGTGGAACTTTCTCCCATTGTTTGCTACTGCTAGCATCAAAGATGTGGCACTGGGATAAGCTTCTCTTCCAATACCAAGTTTTTTCAAGAACTATCTGTTAAAATTATTTTTAGTTTTCATGGAGACAATGAACAATCGCTATGTTGTTTAAATAAACTTACCTTCCTAGCTGGGTAAGCCTGCATTCGGGCTGCTGTGCAGAAGCCATATCTAGAGTCAGAACATGGCAAAAACCCAATTCCAGTTTGCCTTTAAGTTACTTTAGAACACAATACATGAATGGAGTTATGTAATCTCTCAGTACTGGTGGATTAAGAAATACTGCAAAATAATTACCTCAACAAATCCAAGGGGAAGATCATAAAGCATATTCCCTACAGTTCACTCGTGTCTGGAAGAGGAAGTAAAATCAGCCACAAAAGCATTTCTAAAAGACAATCTTTTGTTGCTGTTGTTGAAGGAAACCTAATATACAAGTGATGAGGGATAGAATATATGTGTGGGTATATTGCAGAAGTTCTTGTCTTATTGCAGAGTAAACCTCATTGAAGCTGGCTTCTTGTTCCATTCAAGAACAATGCTTATGATAACAAGATCTTGGTTTTAAGAGCTAAAATAACATAAAACACTCCTGTGTGCCCAGAAATGAAGTAATGCCAAAGAAATCCCCCCCCGCCTTGTTTTCTGAAGCTCAGAAAGCTACAGGGGGCAATGCCAATAAACCAGAGTGTACTTGGCTTACCCCTAAAACAATCTCCTTGCCAAGAAAGAACACAGCAATGAAAACCTGTGGGATCTTGCCACATCGTATACCTGCAATTACATGAGAACAAACTCCTCCTGAGAATTCACATACCTGAAATAAAATGTTGAAAGCAGTTATTTGTTCAGAATAGATTTTTATTTAGAATACATATTGTGTAACATAGAATTTTGTCAGAAGACAGAGTATAACTATAAAATCCATTAGAAGTTATAACATTTTATTGAACAATCAACTTTGATGTGCTACTTAAAAGATTTAACATTAAAATTACACTGCAGGCATATTACAAGTCGTATCATATAATACTGTGTTTGGATCATCCAAACTATAGATGGTTACTTATCTTATTACTAATACGTTAACAATCAAAGCTTATCAGCAGATAGCAAGATAATACAGATCACTACTAAAAACATAACTAAAACTTAACCATAGAAAGGAACCCCGATTCCCTGCAATACCCGATGAAGCCAAAGGAATAAGAAGTGCCCTGTCAGAAGGGACAAATCAGATCCTGAAGATTTACACTACAGAGAAGTATAAGTCAGGACAAAGTGTATATTACATATACATAATAGATCCTTAATTCTTCAAAGAGAACATAAAAACGAAACAAAACCAAACTATAAATCAATGCTTTCTCTGTAGCAGTCCACGAACGCTTCTTGGTGAGTTTTGACCAGGAAGTTGTCCAAGGGATTGCTAGGATTTTGGTCCTTCCCGTCAGTGTAACTTAGCTTTCTGGATACCCTACAGAAAAGAACTGTTTAGATGATGAAGTAATTTACACAAAAATACTCTGCTTGCTGAAACTCTGAAGAACAGAATGAAATTGAAAGAAATCACCAAAACAATATCTGAACATCTTGACTGTGAACGGCAGCACGAGTCCCTGTCTGCATCCCTACATGCTTTCAGCTGGAGAGGAACTTTTTCATCCAATGTCATTTTACCATCTCAGTAATGTTACTACATTAACCTAAAATATATAAATAGCTATTAAACTTTGAGATGCATTCACAAATAGCTAAACATGGAAAATACAAGTGAGAATACAATTGTTTCCTTGCATATTGCTTAAAAAATGGTATAATTTTTTTAATATCTATTTTAAACTATTTTGGTTTACATCTGACAATTAAGTATAGCAGTATAGCTGCAGGATAGCACTCAGACAGAGCTGAATAAAAGTTTATCAGTTATGAACATTTCATTTTATGAAATATCTCATTCATAATAATCTTGTAGATAAAGGCAATCAAATTCCAAACAGCAGGACAATATTCCTTTTCTTTCCACAACTACTTGTCACAACATACAGCATTTTGCCACGTGGTTTATGCGTAAGACTTCTGAAGCCATTAAAGAGCTTCACTCCTGGGAACCATAGAAGGCTAAGAATATCACACAACAGGCCTGAGGAAGCTAGCTAGCTGACTGTCCATTTTATCTACAAATCAGCAAACATGCATTTGTGTAATTAAGGAACAAAGAAATAGATTTTATTCCAGACGGCTTGGCAAGAAAGCAGTCCGTAAAATCCTGATTGCCTACTCTTTCTCAAACTTCTCTTCTTCGATGCATTAAAGAAAGGAAAACCTTTTATTTCGTTCAGAACAATTACTAATCTCACAGGGAGGGCTATTTTGTATGGAGTCAGGAAAAAGAAGGGGGGGGGAAGAGGGAACCCAAGAACTAAGCAGAAATTTACTCAGCTAAGTGGGAACACAGCACAAAAACATCTTTTTATACTCATCAGCTTGCCTTAAATCTTCCATTATATCAAAAGTAATTCAGATACAATCTTTATCAATATTATTATATTTGTAATAGAAACCTCGAATTTTAATTCTACCTTTGCTTAAACGGAAACTTTCTTCAAATCATGCAGCCTATATTTAGGCGTAGAGCAGCAAGAATTTCTTTTGAAATTTCTTTTCTCAAAGCACTTACCGTTGGTGACACTTCTGTGCATTGCTGGGACAGCTGTAATTCTTCACTGCCCTAGGCGAGCCAGAGTGGCCATCTGCAATCCCCGATTCTTGTGGTGAAAAACAGTAATATGAAAAGGGTAAGAACAATGCTGAGTAGACGTTGTTAAAATATTAGCCTATTAAGATATTGATAACACTTCATTGGCATATTTCAATGAGCAGATTTCCTTATGAAAATATTATAATGCAAAAGATTCTGGCAAAACTTAATTTCAAATACATTTTATACATGGAATATATTTAAGCATAAGCTAGGTTTCTTCAAAATGCTTATAATTTACCACCATTAGAAAAAAGTAGAAGAAACTGTTGATACCAGAACAAAGATAATACATAAAGTATGAGTTAAAACTTAAGGAAGGCAAAATAAGACAGATGGGATGAGCCCACCTCAAATAATCAAATTCTTTGCAATCAATCAGTAATGAAAATACAACAAGGCAAGAACCATGCAAACAAATGCATTTCTTCTGCCATTTTCTTCTTGTATACCTGTTGACAATATTTCAAGTCACCTTTGTCAGTAACTATGTTAGTTAGTTATCTTGAAGACAGGGTTCACAAAAAGAAAATATGTAAAATAAACATTAGTGATTTTACTTAGCATGAAGAGTTCAGGTTCTGTTATAAACATGCTTTAACCAAAATCAGATTTTTAAAGGAAATTAAAAGATTAGCACCTAAAATCTTAAACTAATATACTTTTGGGTTGGTGGTGAGTGGGTTTTTTTTTGGTTTTTTTTTTTTTTTTTTAATAATAAAATTCCACTGTCCTGGATTGGCAAAAGTCGTTTTATCCAGATTAATAATCTAACTGTCCTAAGCAAGTGATAGTAGCCATGCAACAACTCAGTTGCAAGTTTTTGTGAAGCTGAAGAATTAAAACAAAAGTGTTTGGTTATTCGAGCGTAGGATTAACAAACTA